TGGAACTATTAAACAAACGGAAATTCTAGGCAAGGGGTTTTTATTATTGTTATTATTAGGTTAAAACCCCATTTTGGTCCTTGAACTATTGCACAGAACCACGATTTGGTCCCTAAATTTAAGAAATCTTTGATTTGACTCTTACTGTTTACCATTTTAACTTCAATTTAGTCCTTCCGTTGAATATCCATCGTTAACTCACATAGAGTTAATGACATGACAAAAATTTAAGACACATCAGATAAAAATGATAACATGGCAACATGGCAACATGACAAGTTATATTTTTGCCATGTAACCCACCAAAATTACAATTTTACCCTCATCTTCTTCCTCTAGCATCTTCTTCCTCGAATCTTCTTCATTCATCTTCTTTTTCCCTCTCTTGGCCTCCTCCGACACAACTTTTATCACCATTTTTCTGAATCAAACAATTAACTCAATGAAATGGAATTCCATTCTTCATCAATCAATTCTTCTTCATCATCAAACAACAAAATTCACGAAAAAAAAAACAAAAATCTTTTTAGAACCTAGCACTTGGGTTCGAAAGAAAGAACCCAATGCAATTTTACTCTCATCTTCTTCCTCTAGCATCTTTTTCCTCAAATCTTCTACATTCATCCTTCTTTTTCCCTCTCCGTGCCTCTTGTGATACAACTTTCATCACCATTTTTCTGAATCAAACAATTAATTCAATGAAATAGAGTTAATGACATGGCAAAAATTTTAACCCCAATTTAGTCCTTCCGTTAAATATCCACCGTTAACTCACATAGAGTTAATGACATGGCAAAATTTTGAGACACATCAGATAAAAATGATAACATGGCAACATGACAAGTTATATTTTTGCCATGTAACCCACCAAAATTACAAATTTACCCTCATCTTCTTCCTCTAGCATCCTCTTCCTCGAATCTTCTTCATTCATCTTCTTTTTCCCTCTCTTTGCCTCCTTTAACACAACTTTCATCGCCATTTTTCTGAATCAAACAATTAAGTCAATGAAATGGAATTCCATTCTTCATCAATCAATTCTTCTTCTTCATCAAACAACAAAATCCACAACGCCATTTTTTTGAATCAAACAATTAATTCAATGAAATGGAATTCCATTCTTCTTCAATCAATTCTTCTTCTTCATCAAACAACAAAATCCACCA